CTTGCATAAGGGCTGAATTGGCCCCCTGCAAACCCCCCCTTGATTGATTGATTGATTTTACTTAGTAATTATTTAACCATATACTGTACTTATGATTTAGACGTTTATTTTACTATATTGAATGGCTTTACTTACCAAAGTACCTTGCTTTACTCAGCAATCTCATTTAACACTTTCCTTTTATTTCATTTTAGTGCGTGGAACATATTTATCTTATTTATCTAATGAAAGTTATTTTGTTCTATTTAGTAATGTTATTTAATGACGGACGTTCATTCTCCCTTACTTTATTTTATAAGATGTATTCTTCTTTTCTTTCTTTTGTTTAATCAAGGGTTTTGTTTTCTAAAGGCTGGAGATCCAGCCCAAGGCAAGAGGGAGACCTCCTCTTCCCCCCCCCCCATATTTATGTATTTATTAAGCTTTAAAATGTCCTTTTTCCTGTCGGGGGACCAGAAAGGTCAAGGGAGGCGCTTCTGACTTTCCTCTTGGGCTCCTTTCTCTCCCTCCAGAACAAACCAGGCGAGTTTTCCTTGTTTCCTGGGTTTCACCAGCCTTCGCCTTTTAACGCACTTATTTGCGCTTCTTTTATTTGATCTGCTTGCTGGTGGGGAACCAAGTTTCCCAAAGGGATCCCACCCACCACTCACCCCCATTTCTTAAGATTATGTGCCATGTTGATTATTTTGATATAGTCCTCTCCCTCCTCCCCCCCCACAAAGAATGGGGGTGGTGGTTCTTTGGGTCGTGGTTCGATCCTGCTTTCTAGGCTTCCCCAGTGGTTTGTGATGATGATGGGAAAGCCAATTAATAACACAATGCAAATAAGGGAAGAGGGACTTGCTAAGGGGAGCCAACCAGGTGGGGTGTTTTTTTATATATATATATATATTGCATCTGCTGCCTGCCCGTGAGGAGGTGCGAGGGTGCAAACTCGCTAAGGGAAATGCAGAGTTACTCGTCTGTCGTGTGTTTTTTGGGGCTGCCCCCCCCGGATTGCACCTGTAGGTTTCACTGCAGAGGAGCAGTTTGCTCCAAAAAAAAAAGGAATTCTTAAAAAACGCAGGCAGCAAATATATGCAGAAACGCCAGCCGTGGCATGGATGTTTTATTTAATTTTATTCTGTACCTCTTGGTTTCCTGTCTAGTAATGGCATAAATTTTGTGCCGGTCTGTTGTTTACCGACAGAGACCTGTGAATCTGGAGGGGAAAAATATTCGCATGTTCTCCTACTTTGAAATTGTTTCTGTTGTTAAATTCCCTTGGAGGTTCTCAAAAGAGGTCGATGTCTCGTGTCCTGGACCGTGAACAGGATCGGTGGGTGCTTCTGCGACCCTCCCGGAAATAGCTAGCCCAGCCAAGGCGGCGTCCAACTGCAACACAGCTGTGAAACGTGTCTGGATGGCCCCTTAAATAAGAATAATAGACCCTCAGAGCTGGGGGGGACCCGATGGGTTATCGAGTCCAGCCCTGGCCAAGGAGGCCCAGTGGGAGAATCGAACTCGCCACCTTCGGCTCAGGGAGAGCTAGAAACCGAGCCGTTTCTTCCCCATTGGACGGTCCGTGACCCCGCTGGCCTGGCCGCCTTGGGGCAGGGCCCAAGGAGATAACGTGGCAGCCCAAACGCGGCCGCCCCCCTGCCCCACTTGATAACAGCTTCCAGATGAAACATTCCTCCCGGCTCGGCTTGGATTTCCATTATTAATTTACTCCCTTTGTGTCTCCTGAGGCCCGCTGGTAATTGAAGCAGCGCTCGGCTTGAAAGGTCACCCGCCCTGGAAAAAAAGCTCTTTTGTTACTGCCAGGAGTTGTTCCAGCCTCGGCACGGCTGATCCGAGCTTACTGGTAGCGCAGGAGCCTGGCTTGGCCGGATTATTTAAAAAAGGAGAAAGAAAGCAAGGACCTGCTGGCCGGGAGGTCACCCCGGGGAGGCGTTGGCGGATTCCGGGCTGGATGGACGGGCGCCCAGGAGAGCTCCTTCGTTGGTCTGATCTCGTGGCTCTGGACGGCTGGGTCCGTGGCCGGAGGGGTGGGCTTCGGGCCTCTCCGTTAGGGGTAGAAAGGAGACCGGCTCAGTCCTCGTTCATAGAGGCCAGCGGTTCTTGGACCGCAACTCGCCAAATCCCTCAGCTGGTGGCGAAGGCTTCTGGGCGTTGTAGTCCAGGAACGTCTGGGGGCCCACGGGGGGGGAGCCACGGATTTTGGCGCTCTGGCTGCCAAGCTCCTGGGTTTCAGCATCAGAACAAGGGGCACGATTCGTCCGTTTGTCTTTCCTCGGAAGTGGAATCTTGTAGATTTTAGCCAATGGAACTTTTAGACACGTTATAGGGCTCTGTTGTTTCTTTTCCCCGTTTTTATCTCATTGGTTTGGAATTTTTTGCTTAATCTTGCCGCAGGCTTTATATATATATTTTTTGTTTGAGAAAATTACATCCCTGTGATGGCTTGTGGAGAAGTGTGGGGTCTACCAGAAGCTTCAATGGAGCTTCCATGGTGAGGGGCAGTCTATCTTGGAGGGCAGCCTTTCTGCACACATAGAGCAGGAGGAAGTTGCTGCCATGTCCTCTTGGGGGCGATGTGTCATAGGCAGTCACATCTTGGGAAGATGGGGGGGGTTTGAAGGCAGCGTTCCCTCCGAGTGGCTATGGACCGCCATGGCTGGGGGAGTCGTTGGATTTCTGGTCCAGAGCAGTCCCTCCTCCAGGCTGTGGGTGTCTGGCTTGGTCTGCACGACTCGTCTCGGGCTGGTCGGTTTGTGATGCTGGGGTAGCAACCACTGGAGAGGATTTGGGACGGGGCGCACGCCAAGACCCCCCCAACTCAAGGGCTGTCTTGCCGTCCCTCCCCTTGCAGGAAGAGATGTCTGGCGAGACGGTGGTCAGCACGGCGGTCCCGGCAGCCGCGACCCGCACCACCTCCTTCAAAGGCGCCAGCCCCAGCTCCAAGTACGTGAAGCTGAACATCGGCGGGGCCCTCTACTACACCACCATGCAGACCCTGACCAAGCAGGACACCATGCTCAAGGCCATGTTCAGCGGCCGGATGGAGGTCCTCACCGACAGTGAAGGTGAATAGCTGGCGGGTCGGGTTAGGTCTGCACGACTCGTCTCGGGCTGATCGGTTTGTGATGCTGGGGTAGCAGCCCCCGGGGAGGATTTGGGACTTGGGCCCACCAAGCC